GTTTTTTTTATATGAGAGTATTACGATAGTTAAAACTTATGAAAATAAATATGGAAATTATTTTTTGCCCTGTAGGGATGGCCCAGTTGGTGCAGTAAAGAACGAGGTTGGAATCCTTGTCAACATTGTATGGTTACAGTTGTCGTCATATATAGTTAGTCTAGTTTTGTGTATATTTTCCGTGCAGTTTTCAAATTATTGCACAAACGCAAATGCACTTCGAGTGACTCTTGCAATTTAAAAAACCCAAATGGGAATATTCGTTATCTTTCTGAAGACATGTTTGTATTAATTATTTGAGGGTGTAAATGTGCACGATTCTTCTTAGTATGAAAACGTCATTAGTAGATGTCAAACAATAGTAGTATCACATTTCTTCCTATGAGGACAAGTATAATCATTTCTGTCTAAAATCAACTTCAAGTGAAAATGAACTAGTAAATTCTTTTTTATATTTAATATTTTATTTGTATATTAATCTTAATGTATTTGCTCCGACTATAGTGGTCAAATGGTTATTAATTCAGGATACTTAAATTGTTTATCTATCGAATTGTCACATGTCATTTTTAAAATGGACATTGAGGTGGTTAAATTCGTAACTCGCATTTGATATTTTTTTCTGCATTTACATTTTGAAAGGTGAATCATCGAAATACACCCTCATTTGATAATCCATTAGAGTTAAAAGTTTCTATTTTTAAGTATATAATTGCTAGGTTTTGATACCTCATTTAATAACTTCATCGGAATTGCTCCAACTAACATAAATTTGGTTCTGAATAAACAAAATTATAACTTGTCACACCACACAACCAAAACAGATGAAATCGTCAAGCATGGAGCAACTCCAATAGTAAACTTAAATATTGAGTTATCCGATATTCATTTGATATTTTAACATCAATTTGAAATTCAGGTACTCCAATGGTTATCAAATTAATTATTGATTGGAAATCTATGGGTAGTTTTGTTTATAGTTGTCACATGTTAACTTGTGATTGGATGTTTAGGTTGGTTACATTTTCTATAATTCAATTTTCAACAAGTATCTTTACATCACAAGAGGTGAATTATCAAAATAGAATCCTCATTTAATAACTTCATTGGAGTTAAAATTGTATATCTGTGAGTGTGGAAATAGTAGTTAAAGATATGAATACCCTATTTGATAATCCATTGGAGTTGTCATATTGCAATTCTAACCACATCTAAGGTAATAATAATCGGTGAAAAAAATAGTAACCTCAAATAGATCAATTAAAGAAGAAGTCCACTAAATCGGGCAAGACCAGTCCCCATGGGAATGCAAAATATAGTCACTACGCCCGCACGGGTATAAACGGGTGGTAAGTTGGTGCAAGGTGCTAAGATCGAATCTTGACAGCCGCAGTGTGATAATTTCAACTCCATGAAGGATGGTTCCTTATGGACACTAGGTCCGGGTCCACTACCCTAACGGACTGTTGAACCACCATGAATTTATATCCCTCCATCAAATACTTGTCGGGCCAAAGAATTGGGGCCCTGGAGTAATTTCATCTTTTCGTGCAAAATTCAGGCACTACAACCTAAAATAAAATAGAATAAAATATTTACCTTCATAAAAATCTAAGATGAAATTTTTTAAATTCATAAAAGATTCATTTGAAGTTAGGATTTTTATTTAATTTTTTAACATTTTGAAGATGGGAAAAGTGACAACGCGTCGATGGGAAAGAGTTTGAAAAGGTAAAAGCGACTAGTTTGATATTTAGCACTTTTTTTCTTTTCAAAATAGAGCCCACCAAAATTGTCTTCAAATAATAGGTTTTCTTCATAAATAAACACCACCACCCCTTCATATTTCTTACATCTCTCTTTTCCACTTTTCCTCTACATCTCTCTTTTCCATTACATCTCTTATTTTTCTCAAAAGCACAAAAAGAAAAAAAGAAAAAAAAAAAAAGAAAAGAAAAGAAAAAAAATGGCTTTAGCACTTCATTCTTCAACTCCTCTTATAAATCTAAAAGAAAATAGAGGTTTTAGAAACCCCGATGATTCGTCTACTACAGTCGGCTTCGCCAAAATGAAGCCAACATGTCAGCTTCGAGCTAAGAATTCAACACAAGAATCTCAAATCTCACGAACAGAAAGAGAGAGAAGCTTCTCACATACTATACACGAGCTGCAGAGGGAGAAACTTCACGGGATGGCAAGTCCTCACAGCCATAGTTCGACTAATGTGAGGGTGCCTGTTTTTGTGATGCTACCACTCGACACGGTATCGATAGGTGGGAGTCTCAACAAATCGAGAGCTATGTTTGCTAGTTTGATGGCATTAAAGAGTGGTGGTGTCGAAGGCGTTATGGTTGACGCGTGGTGGGGCCTCGTTGAGAAAGACGGGCCTATGAAATACAATTGGGAAGGCTATGCTGAGCTTATAAAGATGGTTGAAAAGTTAGGCCTCAAGATTCAAGTTGTCATGTCTTTTCATCAGTGTGGTGGAAACGTTGGAGATTCTTGCAGGTACATCACTTCCCCTCTTCTATCTACTTTATCAAAGCATAATATTCGTCATTTGGATTACCTCTAATCTTAAAATGGAGTAATTCTATCAATAAGCTTTCTCGAAAGATTTAAACGGTATTATTTAAGGAATCAAGATTAGTTACCATATGTTAGATTACCTCTAACTTGACCATGATTTGAGTAGATTCGGGTGTGTGTGTTACTCAAGTCCAGATGTCAATTCGACTAGTTTCGGTTGCCCTTGTATTTTCTCTTTCTAAATTCAAATTTTGTTACAAATTGAAAAGTAGTAGAAAATGCCCGATTTGAATCATGTACCTTCATAATCAATTTCCCTTATGAGTATTTCTTATGGTCCTCCAATTACTATAACTGAAAAGTCGCATTTTTCCGGTCATCTAAATGGAACGATCCACTTGTAAGTAACACAAATAACCGGTCTTGTATTTTGCAGTATTCCTCTACCTCCGTGGGTGCTTGAAGAGATAAGCAAAAATCCGGACCTTGTCTACACAGATAAATCAGGTAGACGCAACCCCGAATACATATCATTGGGCTGCGACTCGCTCCCTGTTCTTAGAGGAAGAACACCGATTCAGGTCTATTCCGATTTCATGACGAGTTTTAGAGAGAGATTCAAGGCCTACCTGGGTGAGGTCGTAGTGGTAAGCCGCCTTCTAACTTTCTCCCGTTTCTTTACGCACAACGGAATAGCTTCCACAGTTCACCTTCTAATAATACTTTTCAAATGCAGGAAATCCAAGTAGGAATGGGACCTTGTGGAGAGCTAAGATATCCATCCTATCCCGAAAGCAACGGCACCTGGAGATTCCCGGGAATAGGTGAATTCCAATGCTATGACAAGGTAATTCATTCCCACTAATTTAAATTTTTCCACAAAAAATAAATTAAAACTTTTTTTTATGTATATCTCACCTCACTGAAATTTTATTATTTTTACAGTATATGAGAGCGTCATTAGCAGCAGCAGCAGAGGCAATCGGAAAGGACGACTGGGGAAGAGGTGGGCCCCACGACGCCGGACAGTACAATCAATTCCCAGACGACACTGGGTTCTTCCGCAAAGATGGTACATGGAACAGCGAATACGGACACTTCTTCTTGGAATGGTATTCCGGTAATTTAATCAACCACGGAGAGAAAATACTCGCAGCAGCCGAAAGAGTATTCGAAGGGACCGGAGCTAAACTCTCCGGCAAAGTGGCAGGAATTCACTGGCATTACAAGACGAGATCGCACGCAGCGGAACTGACAGCAGGTTACTACAATACTAGGCACAGAGACGGTTACCTGCCAATAGCAAGAATGCTGTCCAAACACAGGGTTGTCTTAAACTTCACGTGCATGGAGATGAAAGATGGAGAGCAGCCGAACGAAGCTAACTGCTCGCCCGAAGGACTTGTTAGGCAAGTCAAGATGGCTACTAAGACTGCGAGAATTGATCTTGCTGGAGAGAATGCACTAGAGAGGTACGATGGAGGGGCTTACTCGCAGGTTTTGGAAACGAGCAGGTCCGATTCAGGAAACGGGCTGAGTGCGTTTACTTATTTAAGGTTGAACAAGCGGTTATTCGAACCGGAGAATTGGAGGAACTTGGTTGAGTTTGTGAGGAGCATGTCCGAAGGTGGTCAAAGGACGAGGCTCCCGGATAGTGACAGGATTGGAAGCGACCTGTTTGTCGGATTCGTCAAACAGAGTAATGTCAGAAAGACCATAAGCGAAGTTGCGCTTGTGTTATGATATATATACGAGTTTGTTAAAGACATAAAATAATATCTATTACACAGCTTGAGGCAACTCTACATAAGGTGTCCAAGACAGTGGGAAATTTTTATGGATATTTAGTTACATATCTTGTTCAAGGAAATAACGTATATTTCATTTCCTGCGCAAATGTCTCAATATCTTTTTTTTTCTTCTTTTTCTTTTTATTTGTCGAAATACATAGGATATTACGATCTCGATGTCTAGGATTTTGTTGATGATGTATTTAATATTATACATATATTTGTGATCCTTGTACTGTTGGTTAGATAATTTACATTTATTAAGATGTTGTATAAGAAGAAAAAAACACATATACGATTCTAGCACTAGCAGAATATCCGACAAGAAGCAAATTTGTCCAGCATGAGATATTCTGCAATCATAACAGGTAACAAGAATGAATTGTGTGTTATGCAAAGATCATACAAAATTTGGTCATAGGTACAAAGAAATATCACCCCTCTTCGATATTTGTGTCATCCAACATAAGTGCCGGGCACGGTGCAAGATAAAGATTGACCTAAATTATTTTTTAGGATAACTTTAACCTAAAGAATTATCTCCGAAACAATGCTTCAATTCTAGGATGAAATCTTATTTTGAGACACTTCAAAAGGGAAATATGAATGATATACTTTGAGGAGGGACATGTAATAACTCAAGGACAAGACCAAATTAGCATCATTATTTCTACCACCCAAATACCGAAAGACTTGGTTTGAAGGGAAAAAGGAAAAGGAGGAAGAAAAAACAGAAGAAAAACTTGGATGAATGAGGTACCAAGAAGTGACACCTTCTCTTGTTCGTTTTTAGAAGACTCCGTGAAATCCCATTAAGAGCTATACTCTTTTTGTATGAGGTTGCCTATTTTAACATCGAGAACAAATATGTGCGCACACATACTCTTTCAACACCTAAACGTTTATAATGGTAAATATTTAACATTCAGAAAGAATGTCAAATGTATATTTTTTTAATCCCTTTTTACTATCATCATCAGAAAGTGAATAAATCAATAATAATTAATTATCTTATCACAAGACAACGGATCTTCACATAAAGAGGAATATTGCCTGTACGTGTGAAACTAGTTTTAGTGGCAGAGTTTGCACGAGTGAATCAATAATATCACTGTTTATGTTCAACACTTTTTCCAATGCAAGTTCACAATAGCATCAAAATTCAGCATAGTTTGACAATATGCATTTAACAATTCTTAGCCAACAGTAAACGGAGCATAATATATGCATGCTTGAAATGTTCATTATAGCTGAAGCTTTGAAGCAACTCTTGAGTACCTTTGCAGCAGAAACTAACTAGCATTCACGAACATATCACGGATCCCCATGCTCCCAGTTCACTAGATATATCCCCATCGCCGGACATCTGCCAATTCATATATATAAAGATTATAACTTATTTTCCGAATTTAATTTGTGAAGAACGAACATTCAAAGTTAAAAGCTCAATAATTGGATAAGACTAGCCAATATTTCTTTGAAACCCTTTTTACAGCTAAGAAATCCGCAATTTAGGTTTCATGTCTGATCCGAAAATATCATACATCTTAGGTTCTTTGGTTTCTCCTTATAAGACAAGATTATATTTCAAGTATGCGGGACCTTGATAAATTACAAGTTTGAATTTTCAGCATCCGAAATTAGTTTGAATATCAACTTCTTTAAAATTGAAAAGCGTCATCTAGTTTTTGATTTAAAAACCAAACTTAGGAACTTTAGTAATGAATTAAAATACTAAACGGGGACTCAAAAGGGTTACTACGAAATTAATTTTACTTTTCCACGATCAATTTGAATGAGAACATAATATTGGGCCATAAAATAGCAAGAAGAGTGTTGCTTACAAGTTGGCATTCAGCAGAGATCATTGAAACTTGAATCAATTCTAACTGAATTCATTTCAAACTCTACAAGCGAAAAACGACTAAAGGAAACATATGAAACTTCTAAATCTTGAAATCTTTCTAGTTGTTATTTTTCTACATAATTAATTGTGAAAATATTAACCAAAATCTGCAGTATCCCAATTCAATTCAATTCAATTGAACGCTGATGGATATATTTGGCAACCAAAAAATGATCTATTTCGAGAAATTAGGGATAAATGCAAACACAATGGTAGTACGAGAAACTCTACAGGCAACACAACAGAGATACACATACAAAAATTATTCAAATTAAAAAATAGAAAAATTGGAAGACAAATTAAGTTATGATCAGTACTCAAAATTAGGGCTTTTCCGGAGGAAGATGTTCGGTGGAAGCAGAAGTGGGACGGCGAAGGGTATCAATCAAATCACCAAGCTCCTTGCGAGATGATTCTCTACCGAACATGAAACCGTACCTGGCATCAAACACAAACCCAACTACAATATTCATATCACATATAAATATGAGAGATTAGAAAATTCATTAGAGATTGGAAAATCGTCGGTGTAGAGAGAACTAAAAATCAGCAGAAGGGAGGAGGAATAAATACCAAAAGGAGACGGCGGAGAAGACGCCGGCGGTGGCTACCGTCTGTATGAGAGTGAAGCTCTTCTGCATTTTCTACTTTTACTTGTTATTAAGCCGATAGAGAATCATTTCCTAGTACCATTTTTATGTTGCAATGACTTTAGGTAATTAAGTGCAAATTATCCAAAAAAAAATTAAAATTAAAATTAAGTGCAAAGTCGTTATAAAAAATGTATTGTATTGGACATTCGAAAATTTTAAGAGGTGGCATAAAATATACAAATTAAAAATGAATAAAAAAAATTATCAAATCAAATGCACAGCACGACACATATTTTATAAATCATATTTACGAAGAGTTAATAAAATATGATTTAATTGTCGATTGTTTCTCCTTGAAGTTCACCTCACCATCGATCGTGTTCCTCATTTTTCTTATCATATTTAGAACGTTTGATATAGGATTCTCATAACTCAACATAAAATTGTTCAATATCATTGCTGCTTTAAGAGCTTCTATTCGATAAACGGAATTTGTAATACATTTGTTATTAAACAAATGGTACAATGAATAATATACACTTAAAAAAATGTATTTGTTAAATAATAACAAAAATAATTTCATAAATTAATAAATGTATAAATTATTAATTATTAGTTTATGAATAAGTTAATATTTCGCTAAATTAATAGGATTTTGATGCCCCGTTTGGTTGCCAAGATAAACCATAATTAATTAAATAGTTGGACTTAATTTCATATTGGTATCCCAATAAATTGCCGGGCCGACCCGCCAAAATTATATAATCATAACTTATCTTGCCTTCTGATGAATTTTTTTTGTTGGACGTTGCAAGCTCCAATATAATTAGGTTTCATTAGATTATTTAATTCTATCTTGACTAATCTTATATTGCCAACCAAACAGGGCCAAGTGTATTAATTTACAAAGGTTTAATTGTATCCAATGACAATTGGTTTGAGGGTTTCCTGATTGCCCCTGATTTAAATAATCTGCAGCCCTGAGAGTTGATCCTCCGAATTCTGACACTCAGAAAGAGGAACAAAAGCCAACCTCCATATCCTTCAAAATGAAATACACCATCTTCACACACCTATACATTGCTACATACATACGTACAAATCCAATGGATTTATGACCATATATAATACTAAAAATAACACACGGTCACTCTCTCCCTCTCACACACACACAAATATATCAACTAAACTACAACTTTTCTTTTTCTCTCAATCTCTTCCCTGTATGAAGATTAATAATAATATGGAATAGGAATACAAAAATCGAAAACTCTGACGCGTATTCATACATAAATACAGCCGTAGGGGATAGTAGAAATATTCTCTCGTATTTACAATCCCGAGTTCATTATCCTTCACATTTAAAACCTGTTAAAATCAGAAAAAAAAAATTAAAAATAAGAAAAAAGATAATCAAGATTGTAAAGAAAAACAAGTGCATATGAAAATCCAGAAAAAAAAAGGGGGCACTTGCCTAAGGCGCGCGCGAAGAATTCCCTCCTTGCGACTCTTCCGTTGCTTGCTTCAATATCTCAACTACTTGACCCATAGTCGGCCGATCTTTTGGGTTTTTTACCAAGCAGCTATCGGCCAATTTAGCGATTCTCCTAGCAGCGTTTGGCGAATACTGATTTTGGAGACGTGGATCCATTATCATGCTAAACCTTTTACTGTCGGCCGGAAACTGTTTGACCCATTCTAGAAGCTTCCGCTCTCCAGCTGGAAGGTTCCTCTCTAAAGTCCGCCTTCCAGTGAGTATTTCGTACAACACAACACCAAAGCTCCATATATCGCTCTTCACTGTCAAATGCCCCGTCTCTACGTATTCCGGTGCTGCATATCCCCTTGTCCCCACAGGCTACAACATATAAATATTTACATACAAAAAATAAGAATAATAACATAACATTTAAATCAATTAAAAAAGTAATTAATATATTTGATAAACTGACCGCAGTAGACACATGAGTGCGGTCCCCTGTGGGGCCCTCCCTCGCGAGCCCAAAATCGGAGAGCTTGGGAGTGAAGTCCTTGTCCAGAAGTACATTAGAGGATTTGAAATCTCTATATATCACCTTGTTTTTTTCCAATATCATCATCAGAATAATAATAAATAAATAAATAAATAAATAAATAAAAAATAAGAAATAAAGGGGTGGTACCTGGACTTCCAAACCCTCGTGCAGATAGGCCATTCCTTGAGCGGCACCAAGGATAACGTTGAGTCTGGTTATCCAAGGAACAGTAGGCACAGCACGGTTGAAAATATGATCTTCCAAGCTTTTATTATGCATGTACTCGTAAACTAATAACCGCTGAATTCCTCTTTCTCCATCGACCGAACAATATCCTAAAAGCTTTACAAGATTAGGGTGATCCACCACTCCTAGGAATTGTACCTCCGCAACCCATTGCTTGTGTCCCTACACACATATATATCATGATAATTTATCGGCCAACTATACATAAATTAAAAACTATGAGAAAAGTATGAACTGAACGCGTAACAAATTACAAGTTCATAACTAACTACCTTAAGATTTTGAAAAAACATAGTTGTAATTGGTCATCTTTAATACTGTTGTAAGTCAATGCACTCTTTTATCTCAAATAGATAATATACATTTCATTATATTCTGGTCTAACAATCAAGATTCATTAGCATGTACAGGCTTGTTCTACCCGAACGAAAAATGGCTCAAGTATATTTATCAGGGGAGAGGAGAATTGAATAAAACAGACTATCACTACAAAGCTTGCTTTGTTAAATGCTGAAATCCCGTCTCGACGTATTATAAATCCTCAAGATTTGAACTAGATAATGAAATAAGAAGGCCAATTCCAAATTAACATATTTAATCGGCAAACGGGGGTCTTAAAGAGTCTTAAAGATGATCAGTCCAGCAGCAAAAATTTACCATTACTGCCAAATAGCTCCCATGTTTGCAATTTTTATAGCTAACATTCAGATTCCGAAGCCCAGAAAGGCGAAAAAATGATCCACACACGCGCGCGCGTGCAGAGAGGATAATGTGACAAGGAGCAGCATTATATATATATTATTATTATTATTTGAAGGGAATAAATATAATAAGAATAATAATGAATACCTGCAAGCCTTGAGTATTGAGTTTCTTAATAGCAACAATGGTGGGATTAGCAGAATTAAGCCCAAATGGAGGCTTAATAGAGCCCTTATAAACACTCCCAAAACCACCTTCACCAATTTTGAGCAACTTATTGAAATTGTTGGTTGCTTCTCTGAGCTCTGACAGAGAAAACACCCTCAGATTATGCTCTTTTTCTCTGTACATTTCCGGTATGCTCCGTGGCGATGAAATCGAACCAGTGGATTTAGATACACGGTTATTCGAACCTGAATTTTGATCTGCTGCCCTACTTTTTCGGCTCAATTCCGGCGCCGATTTGGCACCACGCCTGGACTTGCACTTGTGCTTAAATACGTCGAAACACTTCATCATTTTCAGGAACACAGCAAGCAAATCAACAAGTGATGAAAGAGAAAAAGACCCAGAAAAAACAATTTTGATATATGAAAAGGAAACCCAAAAGGTGAAATCAAGAAACAGCCTTGAAAAAGTGGTCCTTATAGAAAGAAAAAAAATGGAGTGGGAAAAGTAGAAAGTCGGTCAAAATATAAGGTAGGGGTGGGGTGGGAACATAGGATAGAAACAGAAGGAAGATGAGAATGCGTGTGGAAACACAAGTAATAAGTTCATACGATCAAGTAATCAAATGGAGTCCCTAAAACTCACGGGTCTCCATATTCTAGGGACTTAGGTAAAAAAACTGAATACCAATAGAGGAGGTTCTAAAGAGTCTCTAAAATAGAGACTGTTCATAAAGTTTCTAAATATTTTCTTATATTTGAGATTGCATGTAGATATTAAAGTTGTCCCACGCTAAATTAATAAAAAAAAATTAAGAACATTAAGGCAATATTTGGTAGTGTTTTCATCTTGTTTTCGTTGACTCACCAAAACAAACTTATATTTATTACACTTCTCAAATAATTTTCTCAAAACAATCTTAAAAGTTTCTCTCTGCTTCAGACATGATGTGACTGCTACAGTAAAATGATTTGATTGCTACGGTAAAAAATGTATTCACTAAAAAACAAAGAAATGTCACTTTATTTTTCGATTTTCTTCTTCTAAAATACTTTTTTTCTAACACCTTTAAATATGATGTGACTGCTATAGTGGCTATTTTGTCTCCTTCCAAGATATAAACAAACATTACTTTCATTCTCAAATTCTTCCCCCAATATATATTTTCTCAAAATGAAATCAAAATAAGTTCCAAAACGCTTCCAAACATTGCCTAAATTTTTATTGTGGTTAAAATATTTACTTTTATTACTTGAAATATCTGTTTTTGATGTTGAAAATATAAAAACAAAAAATTCAATTTTTTTCCTAGGTGAGATATATATTACAAAAATAAGATACTGTAAATAAAAACTAACTATTGAAAATTTAATGTACAAAATTGAGCTATAATCTAGTTATAATAAGAAACAAATTATAAATGAATACATAAAATTAATTTTTTAGAACTCCTCATTGGAGATGAACTTTTTTTTAGAGACTCGAGTTTCTAACTGGATCTCTAAAATCAAATTTAAAGATCCGTTTTACATACTCAATCGGAGATGCCCTAAGTATATGAAGGAAGTCTCCAAATTAGAAAAAAAGGACCGAGAGTACAAGATACATGTGTTAGAGTAGGTGACCAACAAGCCAACATGTGGCTGTGGTCTTTCGTATTTATTATGGTAATAAACGAACCTTTATTCGTATTAATGATAAAACACCTTGGCATTCTATATCTTTGTCCCTTTGTTACAAGCATAGATATAGTCCTTAGAGTTATTACAAGTACTAGTAATTGATCGTTAGGATCGTGAGATATTTACTTAAGTATTATAACTGTTAAACGTGTTCTTAGTCGAAGGGTTATGCCACCAATGAGGATATCGACCTTTTCCATTAAGAGACTAGCACTTAGTGTATGTGTACTGCATCTCATCAGTAAACGGTATTGTGATATCGGCATGCATAAATGGGTGCTCGTAAGTTGACGAGTTCACTGACCTCCCTCACCCTAGAAATCTCTAAGTGGTTCCCAATAATCGAGTAGAGATATCTACGGTATAGTTGTACACCATTAGTCCTTATGACCTAGACATCACCGTGACTTCACTAGAGGACCAGTTGTATCGTGACCTGTCCCTGAGTTCCACCGAGGACCATCCCAAGGGCCAGTGTTCGTGCAGTCCGAAATCTAGTGGGAGGTCTGTGCATTGTAGGCGGGGATTCGATCGCTAGAAAAGTCTTGGATGTCCTGTGTGTTCTGATAGTTTGTAATCATTCTAAGTCTCTGGCCAGAGCTGACTAAGTGATGATTAGAGAATTCGATTCTCTAAGTCATGCACGTAACGATTACAACACTTAGAACGATCGCACCGTCATTGAACAAATAAAGAGGTCTCGATGAACCAATGCCTATAGTTCAATCGGGACATATGAATCGAAGGGATCGTACTGTACGTTAACTATATCTGAAGGTTCTTGCATGCACTTCATTTGTATCTAGGGAATCATGACGCGTAGTTGCTAGACGCCAATCTTGATTCGTTGGGTGATTAAGGTGAAACAAGCTTCATCTTAATCGTAACTCTAAGGGACGAGTTTTGACCACAAAGGGTTGTGGGCCCATGGCTAGCTTACACCTGAACCATCGAGGGTCACACTGCTCGTGCACATGAGATCTTTGAATAAACGGTCAGAGATAAAATGGTTTATCTTTGCATGATTGGAAGTCAATATGATTGGGTCCAACATTCGTAATTTGGAATTATGAATGAAAATAAGAAAAGGAAAAGAATAGGCAAATATATTAGTGGACTTTCTAAACCGGGAAGTTTCCAAATTTAGAAAGTGCACTGAATTAGGGTTTCCACTTTTGGAAAGTTGGAAATTGAGAGTTGACACTCGTAATGACGAGGACATTATAATGATTCCGAAAATGTAATCGTTACAATCTTCCGATCATTGAATGGAGAGAGACGAGCAAGCAAAAGAACTGACGAACTTAAGCTGTTGGGCCCGACCCAACTTTAGCCCGTTAGGGTTTTATGCAAGACACTATAAATACTTGATTTATAGATCTTGCACAAAAAACAAAAACACAAAAAAACCCTAACACTAGCCGCTCCCCTCTCTCTCTCGGCCACTCTCCCCGCGGCCACCACCGGCGCCGTCGCCGGAATCGGCCATCTCTTGGCCGATTCACATTGGTAGTTCTTTCCTTCTTTCTATTCTTCCGTTTTTCTAACTATTACTTGTCTAGTTCCACGTGTTTAGTAGATCGAAGTATACGAGGTGAAATCCGAGAGGAGGAAGATCGAAGATCGAAGAATCGAGGAACAGCACACGAGCCGACGCCGCACGCAATCCCACGCGTCGCTCGAAGACAGTGCGTGAGTCACACGCGCCGCCGTAGCTCGTCTAGTAGCTGCTGCCGTTTCAACGCTGCTGCCCTGGATTGTACGGATTGGTTTCCGTAGCAATCTAGCTTTGCTTAGTGCGCCTACCTCACGTTTAAAGAGATAAACTTTCGAATCCATTGTGCTTTCGATTCGTTTTCGTTTAAGTTAACATATGCATGTTCGTTCTAATAAAACTTGTATGATTTTAGTGTCTACATGAAATTGATTTTATTATTGCGTGCATGATTGTTTGCTTTAAACGCGAGCATGCTAATTGATATAAATTCGGTTGAATAATTAAGCATGTATGTTGTTTTTAATTTCGCTGGAAGCGCAAAGGTACGCAATTAATTGTTTTCAATTATCGGGCATGTGTTTATGTGTTTTATATTCATTTAATTCACATAAAATTTTTGTTTTCCGCTGCGTACACGTGTCCGATTCCCAACAGTGGTATCAGAGCTCGTTGCGCAATTAATTGCGTTTGTTTTAATATGTTATGATTTTATGCATGTTCGATTTATTAAAGTAGCGATTGTTGTGTTATGTAATTGGGAGTTTTCGTAAGTTTAAAATATTTTTGAAATATTGTTTAGAATTTTCCAGCTTTAAAATTGTTTAAAACTGGAAAATCGGATCTGAAATTATTTTTATAACATCGGTTTTTAATTGTTCAGATCGAACCGGTCCAACCGGCCAGTTCGATGGTTGTGTGCGATCCAATGGATTCAGGTCGGTCAGACCGGTTCTCGATCCGACTGACCCGGCCCACTGATTTGGGTCAACTGGACCGGGTAGAACCGAACCGTTTCGGTCCGAACCGGTCAGACCGGTCGGCCGAACCGGTCAGACCGGTCGGCCGAACCGGTTCACTGAAAATAATTAAAAAAAGAAAAAAATATTTCAGATCTCTAAAATTAAACTTAAAACAAATTGATTTTAATTTTCGGAAAATTATTTTCAATTAATCTCAATTAGATAATCGAGTCGACAATCATCTATTTTAGTAAATAGATGTTAGATTAATTAATTAATTTAAATTATAAAAATTAAAATTAATTAATAGAACACAAATATAATATTGATTATAGTTCAACTTAATTGATAGTACCTCAACATTATTTGAATGATTTATGCGAGTTGAGGTTCTATAATTATTTTGAAAAACCCAATAATTAATTAATGTAATTAATTATGAAGTTAGGTCGTATGTTCCTATTAGGACAATATGCGTTTCCATATACCTTTAGAGAACATAGATGTAGGAATCACATAGACCAATCCGAACCTTCTGATGAGATAAAACTTTTTAATAAAAATCCCTCATTCTTAATCTAATTAAGAATCATTTCAAGCTAAGAAAAAAACCCAATCTGTTGAATTTTTCTTTCCTTCTGCCAACCGTTGGATTATGTGTATCTCTTTACTGTAGTGCAATAAGCCGTGTTAGCGGGGAGTGCTATGGTAAAGTAAGCTGTAATTCAATTGACATAGCGATGAAGGTAGCCATAGAAAAAGGGTTATGCTAGATTAACGTGGTCGGCTAGATTAACTAGGGACTGCATTAGTTTGGCATAATCAAGTTCTATAAGCATCTTTGATTGGTAGGTTAGACTTCATACACGATGATTTTGATATTCGCGAGATTAACTTAGGTCATTATCAAGTGTGAGGAAAATTAATTTAGGGTCATATTGTGGATATGATTGATTGTGATCTACCTTTGGGCAAATATAATCGGGCTAGATTAACTACGGGTTATATTTGTCTATTGGACCTAAAGCCCATTAAGAAAAATCAGTTTTCTCGTTTGTCTACTAGAGGGAAGTGGAACTCGATAAAATTAGTGGGAGAACAATTAAATAACAAAAGGCCAAACATTTAATTGTAACAATCATTTAACGCGAATCTCTAATAATCCTCTTCGCTATACCTCTCAGATAATTATGTCTAAGAATCCCATAATGTCAATCCTTGACAATAAACTCAATGGCCCTAATTACCTAGATTGGTTGCGTAGTCTTAAGCTTGTGCT